CAATTTTAAAACAAACATCCACAAATGAGACCAGGTGCAGGGGAAGGTGAATAGACAGGTGAGGAACCCACAAACTATCCCAAACAGCAGCCTTGGTACTGAAGCCCAAGCAGAGGCAGACCCTCTGGTAATTTCAGAATTCAGAGAAAGCAGACCAGCAGATGCGTCACTGCTAACCCCAGACAGCAAGGCCCGGTGAGGCCGGAGCTGTTTGCGTAAGAAAGCTCTTTCTACTTAAATAGACATTTCTCAAAAAAATATAAACAAATGGCCAATAAGCCCACGAAAAGATGCTCAACATCACCAATCATTATGAAAATGCAAATCAAAACTACAATACCACTTCATAACCATTAGAGTGGCTATGTGAAAAATAAATTTAAAAAAATGATATAACAAGTGTTGGCAAGGACGTGAAGGAATTGGAACCCTGTGTGTTACTGATGGGAATGTAAAATGGTACAGCCACTTGGAAAACAGTATTTCCTCAACAAATTCAAAATGAATTACTATATGATGTAGCAATTCCACTTCTAGGTTTACACCCAAAAGAATAAAAGAAGGGACCCAAACAGATATCTGTACACTCATGTTCACAGCAGCAATACTCACAACAGTAAAAAGGTAGAAGCCACCCAAATGTCCAGCCACAGAGGAATAAACAAAACATGATAGATATAGACAAACAATGCAATATCATTCAGCCTTAAAAAGGGAGGAACTGGTACCTAGAGCCTGGCTGGACCAATGGGAGCAGGCAGAGGGTGGGGCCACATTGCACAGGTAATAGAACATTCTGTTCCTGGTGGCAGATGCCCCCACCCCTGGGCAAAATGGCAGCATGAGGAGGTATTGCACTGAACATGTGCAAGGCTAGCAAGACACTTGGATAGGGGAAAAGCTCTCCTACCTCCTTCCTGTACCTGACTGGGGGGTGGGACCAAGGGAAGGCGGCACATGTGCCATAGAGGTCAGAATGGCGGCGGGCGGAGGTGATGGACTGAAGAAGCCTGTCAGTCTAGCCTGGGAAAGAGAAGGGATTGGTCAGGGGCTGGGTCCTCGTGGAGCACACAGAAGTTTGGGAAGTTAATTGGGTATTCCGAGACAGCACCAGGTCTGTCCCATACCTGAAACTAACATAAACCCAAAGGAAGGTAGGGACGCTCTCTTATCTACTTAGCCAACATAATGGCCAGTCCATTCGTGGGACCTCTGGCCCTGGAAGCCACATGACCAGTGGTGGCCCTGGCCCCGCATGCATGTTCCAGAAGGGAGACTGAAGCTGGACAGTGGTTAGGAGCAAGCTGAACTGCCTGGATGACCAACCACTCAGCGGCCTCCCGCAGTTCCCGAAGGACGGCACTTTAAATGGGAGAAGGAACTCTGGACGCTGCCTTTGGTTTTGGTCTGGCTGAGGACAGCTGGGCTTTCCTTGGGGTTTTTCAGAGAGGATGGGCTTTAAGACAAGAGTCTGCCATTCTCCCAAATCAGGCAGCATTTGAATAAAAACCTCTTTCCTTTCTCGCCAGCCTCTGCCTCTAGGATTTTCCTGTTGGTGGCAGCAGGCAGCCAAACTCCTACTTCGGTTCTGTAATTGAAATTCTGACACATTACAACATAGATGAATCTTGGGGAAATTATTCTAAGTGAAATAAACCAGCCACAACAAAAGACAAATACTGTATGTGATTCCACTTATATGAGGTACCTAGAAGAGTCAAACTCAGAGACAGAAAGTAAAATGGTGAGTGCCAGGCCTGGTGGAGGGAGAATGGAAAGTTAGTAATTAATGGGGACCGAGTTCCAGTTTTGCAAGATGAAAAGAGGTCTGGAGACGGATGGTGGTGATGGTTGCCCAACAGTGTGAACGCACTTAATGCCACTGAACTATATACCTAAAAATGGTTAAAATGGTAAACTTTAGGATGTGTATTTTATCACAATTAAAAAATTCTTTTAAATTTTATTTATTTACTTTTAGAAAGGGGGGAGGGAGGGAGAAAGAGAGGGAAAGAAACATTGATGTGAGAGAGAAACATCAATCAGTTGCCTCTTGTGCATGCTTGGACTAGAAAACCAAACCTGCAACCCAGGCGCATGCACCCTGCCCGGGAATCACACCAGCAACCTTTCACTTTGCAGGACGACACCCAAACAACTGAGCTACACTAGGGAGGGAAAATTTTTAAAAAATTTTAAAGAAAGAAAGAGCTTTCTAACAAAAACAGGATTTCTTAAGCCTGTATCTGTAACATTTCCTCTGTACAGTGTTGTAAATAATTGCCTTCCCTTGCAAAGACTTCCAAGGCCATATTAATGTTGAGTGTTCACACGAGTGTACTGTGGCTCAAAGTATATATAAATCAAAGACAACTAGGGACAGGTCAACATAATCTAGCCTGAAAGGTGTTGCGATTCATTTAAATGGACTTCCTAAGTAAGATATAGTAGTTAGGCCTCCCTTCTTATCCAGGTCTTAGCAGGAAATAAGCTTTTGAGAAGAGGATCCAATAGAAAGCTGCCTGCGCTGTTGATGATCAGAAGATGGGGAAAGCACCAACAAAGATCGGAGGCTGCACTCGACATCGTATACATCCACTAAGGAAGACACCTTAAGCCCCAGGCCCGCTCCTCTAGCTCTTCCAACACAAGAGGGACAAGGACCTCACGCTGTAAAGCCATGTTAGGGGAAACGCCACCACATCACAGCATCCATTCTGGGGGAAGAATGTGCGGTCTCTACATGAAAGTCTCCTCCCTGAGGCCCGGGGTGGACGAAGTGGCAGGGGTAGGGGTAGGTCTGGGCAATGGGTGTCATTTCTATCTTTACCTTTTTCTCCACACACATTCAATAAATGGGCATTTTATTCTTTTTTAAATTGCCTGGTATTTAAGGACAACTAATGGGGTTCAATTACACTACCAGGCTAAAAAGATCTGACACTGCAATAAGCCTGGAGGCCATTCTACAGTAAGGACGCTGGGCACAACGGAATGGTCTCGGGAAGCATTAGAGCAGAGGCTGGGTGACCACTCTCTGGGTTGTAGTAAGAGATTCCCGCCCTCAGTATAGGTCTGCTGAATCCTAATCATTCATAGGAAAGGGTCAAAAAATAATGTCTCAAATTGTTTTCTTAGGAAAAAATGCCTGCCATATTACGTTGTTGCTCAGAATTAAGAAGGGTATCAATAGAAGAAATAGAAACAGAAAGTCAAGCAGCTTCCTCTAGAAAGAAGGGCTGGAAATGAGATGGGTGGGGCAAGGGACACTGGTTGTTATAAGTTCTTCTCTGCGTCTTTGCCTTGGGCATGCATTAATTGGATGGAATTTTAAAAATTAAAAAAATTCCCATGGGTTAAGAAAAAACATTAATCATGCAGTTACTAAACAATACATTTCCAAAAATACTTAATAACCTTTAATAACATGGGAATGTTCACAATATTCTAAAGCGCACACACACACACGAGACAGGGTCTGTCCAGAAAATATCCAGCCATTGTTTATATAACGAGAACAGTTTGCACAAAATTGATATAATCTGACAACCAAGGAGAATAGACTGCAATGCACATACATGAACAATGACTACGTCACTGTACTAGTCAATGGGGGCAGTAGACATCATTGAGTGAGCATGTGTACTGTGTGGCTGTTGCATTCAAAATGACTGAGCAGGTAGAGCAACGAATCTATATCAAATTTTGCATTAAACTTGAACATTCCTCCAAGGAAACTATTCAGATGATTCACAAGGCCACAGCTATGGGCAACTGGTGATTGGCAGCTTCATCATGACAACGTGCCTGTTCATGCATCATGTCTCATGCAGAGTTTCTTGGTGAAACATCAAATCTCTCAGGTGACTCAGCCTCCCTACAACGCCCTGCAACTTCTGGCTTTTCCCAAAACTAAAATCACCTTTGAAAGGGAGGAGATTTCAGACCTCTAGATGAGACTCAGGAAAATATGATGAGGAAGCTGATGGTGATTGGGAGAACTGTGTGAGGTCCCAAGGTGCCTACTTTGAAGGGGCACTGAGGTGTCATTGTCCTATGAACAATGTTTCTTGTATCTTCTTCAATAAATATCTCAGTTTTTCATATTACATGACTGGATATCTTCTGGAGAAACCATATATCTATAACACACACGAATACACCTAGAGAAAGGAAAGAAGTATATAAAATGGTCTCACTGGAGCCATGACCTGTGCAGCTTAGTTGGTTGGGCATCATCTCACAAAGCAAAAGGTTGCTGGTTTGATTCCTGGTCAGGGCACATGCCTGGGTTGTGGGCCAGGTCCACGGTTCAGGCACTTACAAGAGGCAACCATTTGACGTTTCTTTCACATATCAGTGCTTCTCTCCCTCTGCTTCTCCCTCCCTTCCTTCTCTCTAAAAATAAATAAATAAAATCTTTTTCAAAAAAGTTCTCACTGGTTTTCTCCAGGTGGTAAGAATACCAGTGATAATTATTCTTTATATTTTTCTGGGATGTTTTATCTTCTATAACAAACACACTAATTTCAATAATTCCCAAATGGCAATTATTATTACCTTTATCATCTTTTTAAAAATAAAAAGCATTAAAAAAATAAAATTAAATAAATAATAAAAAGCATTAGTAACCTTGATAGATTAAATACAACTACAAATTTTTTGCAGCTCCTGCCATCAGATTGTGAAATTATTTCCTCTCCTGGAGTCCGGGCTGGCCTCCTGGAGGGTGACAGGCTTTGGGGAGAACCAAGGGCCCTGGCCACCGGCCAGTACCAACTGTCAGACATTTGAGTGAGACCACATTGGACCACGCAGGCCAAACAACCGCATTATTGTCTCGGGCATGTCCAGCACAAGAGCTGCCCAGCTGACTCATTTTCAAAACCTTGAGCAGATAAAATGTTTCTCTTTTGCCGTGTTTGAGGGTGACTTGTTACACAGAAACAGGTAACTGACACAGTAGCAAAGATAAAGCAGCCCTCCGAGCCCCCCAGTACCTGTCCAGGGAGTCCCCGTGACCTCCTGGCTCCACTCGCTCCACAGGCCATGTCCAAACTCCTCCTGGGCGCGCACCTGCACCGCGTGCTCCATGCCGCTCCAGGCATCACGGATGATGCAGTGGTGCTGGAGGTCCTTGACCTGAGGGCAGAGGCAGTTTCTGTGGCACAGAGCCCGGGAGGCTCCGGCTAGGCAGCTCCAAGGGGACGCAAGGACCCTTGGCCGTCCCCTGCCCTCCAGCAGCTCCCTCTCAGATCTAGCGGGTGACTCAGCTGGGCAGAGACTCAAAGGCTGACACCACCCTAGCAGCTCAGAGAGAAACTGGGATGTCCTCTGGCCAGCACTGACAGGAGCTGGAAGTCACTGTCCCACCACACGCACTGTGGAATCCTGCAGCCACGCCCTTGACAGGCTCATAGCCCCCACTCACTTCCCAGGTCACTCTCACTCTGACAAACAGGTCTGTGAAGGGGAGACTGGTCTGGCATTATTAGTCCTGTTGTATAAATGATGCCACCGACATTCAGAAGAAAGGCTAAGAGACTGACTTATCCAGGACCATGCAGGTGGTGAATGCAGAACAGGACCCAGAACCCATTTGTTTGTTTGTTTCTTTTTTTTTTAAATAAAGATTTTATTTATTTATCTTTAGAGACGGGGGAAAGGAGGGAGAGAGAGAGAGAGGGAGAGAAACACCATTGTGTGGGAGATACATCCATCAGCTGCCTCTCATACGTCCCCAACTAGGGACCTGGCCCACAACCCAGCCATGTGCCCTGGCTGGGAATTGAACTGGCGACCTTCGGGTTCACAGGCTGGCACTCAATCCACTGAGCCACCCCAGTCAGGGCCATTTGTTTCTTTCTAGTATCCTTTCTACGGGATTTAAGAGTACTTTTTCTTTTTCTTTCTTTTTGGAAAGGAGAAATATTTTTATTTTGGTGTTTATTTTTTTAATGGTATATTCTTTTACTGTATTTTCTTTCCTCAAGGGTACTTTTCTATCCAGAAGTAAAAGAAGTTACCATCCACGTTGTGAATGTCTTTGACCGTTTAGCCCGGTATCGGAGCTCAAACTGTAGCCTATAGAAATATGAGTTCCAGGAGGGGGGGTCTTGCCAGGTGACACTGAGCCAGCGGGGGTTTCTGTCCACAGCGGTGACGGTGATGTTGACGGGTGGGTCAGGCTGCACTGTGGGAAAAGGGTGCATAGCTCTTATGTGGTGGCAAGTGTGGTGCTGAGGAAAGACCCATGCAGGCTGCGCAAATCCCCAACAGCAGGATGCCACCCCAGCCCCGGAGCATCCCTGGTCAGCCACGGTCAGACCTGCCAAGTAACGCTCCAAAGGCCCCAGCTCACCCAACCCCCGGCCCAGCGCCCACACCCCGCCCCGCCTCAAGAAGCCCATGGGCAATCAAACGAGAGGGAAACAGCTGGAAGGTGCAGAGGGGGGCCTGGAAGAGCTTACGTACAGATTCCGTAACCCTCAAATGTTTGGAGTCTGCTGGATTTGTTCCCAACACTGTTGGCGACACACAGGGACACTATGTAGAAAGAGTTGTCTCCCTCTGGGACTGCTAACTGGCAGGAGAACTTCTGGGACTCCTGGGAGTACTGGCACAGCTCCTGGAAGTCTTCCACAGGACCGTGCTGACTGCTCGACACAAAACAAGAGCGAGGGCACTCTCAGTTTCTGCGCTGATTCGGGAAGGGAGAGGACGTGGCGAGAGGGGCTGGACTCTGCATTCACACTTGGGAGCTTTTGTGACTCTGAGTAAATTATCATCTCTGAGCCTTTGCCGCTCATTTGAAAATGGGGTTATTAATAGTACCTACCTCATAGTGGTTTGTTAGGGTTAATGGAAAAATGAGTGTAAAGCATCCAGCTTTGTGCCTGGCAGGTCAAAGGTGCAGAGAGTGGGTGCACTCAGTCACCAAGGCATCGGATGGTGCGGTTCCTTGGTTGCCTGCCACGTCCTGTGCCCTTGGCAAGGTGGGGGCTGCAGAAATGAATCAAGGGAGGCCCCACCCCGACCTCAAGGCCTGCCCTCAAACAAAAGTGACAGCCAGCAGAAATGCCATCGCAGGAGCACAAAGCGCTAGAGGTTCAAAAGGAGGTGGTAGCAGTTCCAGCAGGTGAGCCCAAAAAAGAAGTCTGGGTGACTAAAGATATTCGAGGTGAGTCACACACCACCTCACCTGGCCTGGAAACCTGAGACTTCACCCTCTTATGATGCGCCTGTGCATGTGAGGCCACAGCAGCCACTCGCCCTGCTGCGGGGGCAACAAATCACCCACCAATCTCTGCTATGGGTTTAAACCCGAGGGAATGAAATCGTTCTGGGAAACCTGCCCCAACCTTCCTAGTCTGAGTTAGAGCTTCCTTCCCTCCATCCCTCCCCCCTCAACAGCACCCAGGCTCCCATCCCACCTAACCCGGGGAAGGCAGGGTCCTCGGCCGCAGGTTCACAGGCGTGTCCCCTTGTGGGGCTGGAGGGCAGCACTCCAGCCATCCTTGCTCACTGGCGTCTCCTACAGCCCTGGGGTGGAGCCTAAGCCACGGCAGATGCTGAACTCCCCGAACACTCGAACACTCGTGGGATGAATGAATGAGCAAGTACAGTCTGGCAAAGGTGTGAATGTGTGCACAAAATCTCCTTTGAGGTGCCTGTTTCACCCCGCACAACGCCAGGGTCTGAGTGGGGCCTGAGTGGGTTCTGCGGGCCCCAGCGCTCTCACCGTTGCTCCCCACCCCACTTCCTCAGTTCAAGGCAGAGACACCCCGCCCTGTAGGAGGATGGAAGCGCCAGAGGCTGCGGGCAGGAGGAGGAGGGTGTGAGCCACAATGCCATTCTCTCTCTCTTGCTGTCAAAATGCTGGTAACAAGAGCACAGGGTATTGTAGTTGAAGTGTCAATTGGATAAATTTGCTATGTGCTAGTCTGGGCAGCTGTCCGGGAAACCAAACCACCCTACTGAATTCACTGTCCAGATTTTTTGATACTCATGATTGACAGCCCAAACTCAGATAGAAACACGTGGGCTGAAGGGCCCTTGGCTCTGGGATGGAGACTGACCAAAGGGCATCAGTGCGTTGCTTCTCAGCTTCTCCCCCTCCTCCACATCCCTGCCTGAGTTCACCCCAGCTCTCCCCCTCTAGCCCTCTCCTGGCGCCAAGGGACCGCCAGGCAATGTGGGCCCGCCCCACCACCCCCAGCTCCCTCTCCACCCTGTCACCACTTTGGCCACTTCCTCTCACCTGCCGTTATCAGGGAAAGAGCCTGATAAGCTCACTGGGTCAGGACAGGATAGTGAACTGGCCGCCCTCCCCCTCCCAGGGATATTTGCATCTTCTTCAGAAGGCCCAGACCCTTTGTGTTTTGAATGGAATCAGGCTGACTGGGTTGGATTCCTAGCAGAGCTACTAGCCAGAGGACCTTAAACAAGGTAATCAGTTTCTCAGAACTTCAATTTCTCTATCTGTTACAGGAGAAAAACAACACCCACTTCCCATGGCCATTGTGATGGTGAATAGGACAAATATCCTAGCACAGCGGCCAGCACAGGCTAGCACTCTAATTTAAGTCTCAGTTCCCTTGGTCACTCCCTCCCAAAAGAATTATTTTCTTTTCTCTTTTAGAATTATTTTCTAATGATAAAATTTTGGACTCACTGGCTGGCCAGTCCCACCATCTCCTTTGAGAGGCCCCGACTCCCAGGGCCCCAGCTGAGGATGAGTAGACATACACATCCAGCCCAGCCCGGGATACTTACAACCTCCTCACCAATAACACAGCCTTAGTCCTCTGGGATGGGGGGCTCTGAGGACTCCACTCACAGCCCACGTTGCTGAGGGGACTCTTCCGGAAGCAGGAGAGCTGGGGCTCCTCTGGAGGAACTGAAAGGCCAGAACACCAAGCGGAGGTGAGCTCACCTCACCTCCCTCCTCAGGGGAGCACCTGGCTCAGCCCTCCCCACCTCCCTTCCCTCCAGCCCTAGAACCAGCCTTGACCCAGGACACCAAGGCCAAACAGCCACACACGCAATTATGTCTGGGAAGTTAAGGGACCTCACTACAGTGAAGGGGGACACCCAGGGCCAGCTTGTCTAAAGGGGAGAGAGTACAACCAAAAAAATAGAGCCTTTGGAGTCACAGGCCTGCTCTTGTGTGGCCCTGGGCAAGCCCCAACCTTTCTTCAGTTTCTTGCTATGAAGTTAAAATGATAAATAACAATAACACTGCTTTCCCTCACAGGGTCATTGGGACACCAAGGAAGACAGGGCCTCGGCGCAGGGCCTGGCACACGGGGCATCTGGCTCCATGACGTCTTCAAGATGTGAGGGAACTAAGAACCTGCTAATTCTACCCATCAAAATCGTTAGTTTGAGACTATTCAGAGTTTTCAACACCGTATGTGCGTGTGTGAGTATACACACGTACCTACTCACTCATTTAATCTTTGCACTAACTCTGAGATAAGGTTATAAAATTGATGTTATTTCAGTGAAGCAGACACTGAGGAGCAGCCAAGTTAAGCTGTGCAGGAGGAGGATTCAAACATAGGCCATCTTGCTCCCAGTCCTGTGCTATTAACCAGTACACCTCAGGCCCTAACCGCACAACAAGGCCAGCTGGACAGTGTCCTCATCAGCCAGTTGCCCCCACTCAGCAGGAATTTCCGCCAGTCTTGCTGGCAGACGTCAGTGGGCCTTTCCCAAAATCTGTGGGCCAAGGAAATAACAGGAGTTTCAAGGGTCAGGAGTTTCAAGGGTCAGGCAGGGGACCTGGGATGCACAGAGCTAGCTGCACAGGGAACTGTCTCCAAGAGCCCTGGACACAACTCACCTTCTACCAGCAGGCGCACAGTTCCAACCTGGTGGCCATCCTGGTAGCATGAATAGTTTCCAGAGTAGCTGAGCTGCACAGATCTCAGAAGCAGCCTCCGTCCCAAGCCAGCCCATGTGCCGTGGTGTGAGCCTGAGGCCTGATTCCGGAGCACCCAGTGAACTGTGGCGTTGTCTTCAGGATCCCCGCCTGGGCAGGTCAGGGTCACGCTAGCTCCAGGCCTGCTGGCTAGCACGTCGCTCTCCACCTCTGGGGAGAGAGAAGACACTCAGCAAGTCCATAGCAAACTGAGGAAAGAACTTCATTTCTGATCCGGGAAAGCTGAAAGGGGCTTCAGTACTAAACATCTCCCAAGTCCACCCAGTGGTCCAGGTCCCTGCTTGGGCTACGGCAAGTGCCGCCCAGTGGCCCCCACGCCCCAGCCTTGACCGTCTCCACCCAGCTGGCATGTGAGCCTTCGGGAGCCTTGAGCTGGCCACCCAACTCCGTTGGTTAGAGAACCCTATTAGTCCAACCCAATTCATCCAACCACCTTAGACTAATTCGTTAACCAATCTATTAAATTAGTCCAACCAGCTAAGGGCACTGAGGCCAGGGAAGATAGCCAGTTTCACATTAAGCACATATGGTCCTTCAAAACAAATGTATAACCACTTATCAGCGAGCAGCAACAATAAATCTGGCCCAAGGTTTCACAGGCCCAGCAGCTGCCTGAACACCCAACCTCACCTCCTGCCCTGCTCCTGGGCCTGGAGGGCGAGCGCCAGAATCTATGACCTGCAAAGCCTTCTTGCTTAGGATGAGAGCTTTTATTTCACATTTGGAAGACTGTCCTTCCTTCCACCCCATCCAAAGCGACTGTCAGAGAGGAGGGATTAAGAATCAGTGATTCTCAGGAGGTTTACACTCCCAAAGCCAGGGGCTGGTTGTAAAAACTGGCCACTGGCCATAGTCCAGGGACCAGGGACAGAAGCATCAAAGGGACAGAGACGGATTCTGTCTGGCCTTGGGTCCTGCCCGACCCAAGCCTGACACAGGCTACACAGACTGCCTTCGAGCTTCCTTCTCACTTTACCACTTGGCAGTCATCTGTGCTGAGGCTACAGGTAAGGAACGATGCAAGGCCAAGTTCGCTAAGGCCAAGTTCGCTATTCGGTAAGTGAACAATGAGTTCACTACTCAAGGCCAAAGTAGCAGCTGATCACCTGAGGGCTTTTCCTTTTCGCTGGCGCCTTGCATTTTGGGTGAGAAAAGGACTGAATCTCACCGTGCAGCTGTCGAGTCCAGGCAGGTTCTTTAGACTCCACTTTCACCCACTGTGGCCTAGGAAGGCTCTCCCTCTGCCCTGCATTTAACAAACACTCAAGGAGGCCACACAGCACCCAGAGCCCAGCGCTGGTGAGGAGGACACAATGAGGTGGCCAAGAGCCCCTGCCCTCAAAGACAGGAGACAAAGACACATTCACGGGCACAAAACTGGCGCACCGGACACAGGGCTCCCTGCACCTCAGCAAAATCCCAGTCTCTAGAAGTCAGAGTCCCCTGAGGAGATTTCTGTGCCCAGAGGACTTAAAAGAGTTATATAAAGCCCTCATTACCTTCTTTTTTCTGTTTCTCCCTGCCCCAGTTTTTTTTCCATCACCATTTATCCCTCCTATACCCTCTTCCACCTCCCCCCACCCCTCCCCCAGTTTTATTGAGATATAATTAACATATAGCACTGTGTAAGTTGAAGATGTACAGCATGACCTGACTTACATATATTGTGAAATGATTACCACAATAAATTTAGTTACCTATCATCTCATATAGGTACAAAAAAAGAGAAAATGTTTTCTTTTCCTTGTGATGAGAACTCAGGATCTGTTCTTAATTCACTCCCCTACCCCCACACACACACCTCTGGTAACTACAAATCTGATTTCTTTTTCTGTGGGTTTTGTTTTTTGTTTTTGTTTTAGGCTCCATAGAGAAGTGAGAACATAGAGTATTTATCTTTCTCTGTCTGACTTATTTCACTCAGCATAATGCCCTCAAGATCCATCTATGCTGTCATAAATAGTATTCCTTTTTATGGCTAAATAATAATCTTACGTGTGTGTGTGCACGCACCACAACTTCCTTAACCATTCACCAGTCAGTAGACACTTAGGTTGCTTCCACGTCTTGGCTATTGTAGATAATACAGCACACTTTTCATACATAATAGTCAATAATATATTTCTATCATTTCAAATATCGTTTTTAACTATATAACATTGAATGCATGCAAATTAATATGTAATATACATGAAAGTTACAAGCATAAAGCATCCTGCACTCCTACCAATCTAACTACCAGCACAATCATCATCTCAGAAGTTCCCTCTCTGCTTCTGAATCCTTCAGCTTCCCCATCTTACACAGTGCTAATTTGGGGGTTATCGCTCCCTTACTTCTAAAAATAAGTTCACTACTCATGGATTCTTAAATTTTTCTCAATTTTGCTTGATTGTTAAGCTTTAAGTGGTTTGTATTTAATCTTCTGGGATCTATTTTTGTCATTCATTATGTTTCTATGATTCATTTAAAGGTAGCTATAATTGGTTCATTTTCACTGCTGCATAATATTCCATTGTACAAATACAGATCATCTTCCATCAAGGGAAGTTTGAGTCATTTCCAGTGTTTTTACTATATCAAAGAGTGTAGCTATCAACTTTCTCACACATAGCTTTTGGTGCATTTTCCCGAGTTTCCCTGAGTTCAATTGCTGGTCCCAGAGTATATGTGTCACATGTATCCTTTTCCTTCATAACCAAACACACAGTCCAATGGGTTTAAGTCCAAAGAGCACCCGGTGAAGGCTCCAGTTTGCCACCTTCAGTCCACATGTTGATTTCCATCTGTGCCTGAATGAGGTTACATTTAGAAGACACACCAGCACTTCTAATCACTATATCGATATTTTCACTTTTCCATTTTCCACTTGATAAAGCAGCTGTAAGGATAAAACCCAACAGGGGCATAAGCTCACACACAAATTATTTTCACTGTAGGAACCAAGATGAAGACACTACCAAAATAGGACTGTCTGCTAGTGAGGGGTCCCACAGTGCAGCACTTACAACATCCCCCCACCAGCTGGTGAGCAGAAATCAGATTTCACAAGGCAGTTTAGGAGCACCAATAAAAAAGGGACACAAGGCAGGCTGCACGAAGGTCCAAGCAGGTGTCAAGGACCATGGATGGCTCATCCTTTCACGGGCACTTTTCACGTGGCACTGTCCCGGACTATATGCAGCTCCTGCCAGCCCTCATCAGAGAGTTCAGCAGGTGCTTAGTAAGTGTTTGTTTAATGCAGGACACCTAAAAAGTGCCCAGAGGGTCAGGGCCCCCACACTGAAAACTCCCAGGAGCACCACTCACAGTTGACACACTGGTCTGAGGCGCCCCTCCGGCCGTATGGCGGATGGGCCCTATACTGAGGCCAGAGCACCAGCTGGTCCCCATCAGGAGGTGCCAGGGAAAGAACTCCCTCTGGCCATGGGTCCGCAGTCACAGGGAACGCTCTTTTCTGCCTCTGCTTTTGCCAGTTCCAGGAAATATGTTTCTCTGGTCACTTCCCTTACCCCGGCTCAGAGGGAAGCTCCTGCCATGTTTAATGACCAGCCTGAACAATAGCAGGGGCTGTTCTGTTCCTGCACTCACTAACAATGGCCAAACTATTTGGGCAGCTCGGAGAAATAGCAAATAAAACAACTTTTTTTTCTCTTCCACAAAAGCAGAGCTGCGGGAGCAACATAATGGCCACTTCCTCTGCCAAGGGACTTGAGTAATGGTTTTCTTTAAAACCGAGTCATTATTTTTTTTAATGGGAGATGATTAATTATAAACAAGCCATTGGCAAGTATTCCCTGTACTGGCCTTTCTTCCTAATATATTTCTTCTAGACGCTGAGCAGCACTGTGTTAACTACGCTTTTTAAAGCATTGTAGGCAAGATGATCACAAATACTCAGAGGAAAGACCACAAGAAAATTAACTTGCTAAAGTCAGAGTGGGCAGTGCCGCCCTCTCCACACACGTACTCACCCCTCTGCCCCCAGCCGAGTCTGAGTCAGCCCCTGACAGCGGGTGTCCACGTGGGAGCCCCGCGGCATTTCTGTGAGAAGTGATGTTCACAGAATGCCCTCCTGGTATCTCTGTCCCCTTCTCCAAGTGAGGGGATGAGAGGTGACTTCTTTCTATTCATCTTTTTGCAGTTTTTGAATGTTCTATATATTGTCTATATAACTCTTATAATGAATATATATCTATGTAAATTTTGTTTTTAAACAAAAAAAGCTGGGTCCACCCAAGTCACGATGTCTAGGGCTGAGGGCCAGGGGCAGCAGGCGAGGGCGCAGGGTGGAGGTAGAGGTGGAGCGGAGCATGATGGGCGCCAGGGACTAAGGGTGAAGTGAGGGTGGGTTTTTCAGGACAAGCAGCTCTGAGAGCACCATCCAGGCCAGAAACGGTCACCCCTCCGTCCTTGCAGCTCTGGGTTCTGTCATACTCTCTGTATCCTATACCCTCAGCCCTCAGCTCTGCCGGCCTGATCCCCTGGAGGTCATAAGGTCACCATCCCAACCCATCTGCCGCTGTGTGTTCCCGGGAATCTGCCGGGTTTCGCTGACTGAGGAGAGACCCCGCGGGCAGCAGGTGAGGAGCGTGAGTGCTCCGGAGAGCACCCCTCCTGCTCCTCACAGAGGTGCCCAGCCCTGCTCGTAGTCCTGCGCTGGGCAAGGGGGGTGTGGCGGGGAGTGGCTGGCCAGGTACACCCTGACACTTAGCAAAGAGCACACAATTTAACATTGGTACTTGAACAATTGCTCAGCCATGTGAGGCCAGGGTTGTGAGCCTGTTCTTGTGTTGTCAAGAATTCAAGAATTTTTTGTGCACCCATCATGTGCAAGGCCAAAAATTTCTAATCCAGGAGAGATAACTAAGTTATTGAACATCTTGCTATGCACCGACATGCCTCTCCACCTTTTCCATGTTACAATCCTTTTTAACCCCCACAAAATCCCATGGAGAACTTAAAACTACCTATAATACGGGCCACCCTGAGGTAAATGTTCCTGACATATTAAGGGAGTCGTAAGTGCGAAACCATTCAAAAAGGGCATGGGGGTGGGGGGGAGTAAGGGAAGAGAGATTTGAGTTGGGCCCTGAGAAGTGAGTGGGAGTTTGATAACTGGAGCCACAGGGAATGGCATTCTACGAAAG